TTTTTTTTACGTTTTAGGTTATGCATAGGTAAATAATATATATATATATATATATATATATATACTGAAAAAGTAGTTTCATGGAAAACCTCATTTCATCAGCAGGCACTAAGCAGTGGTAGATTGGCTTAACACTTTCTGTGATCCCCCACTCTACGCAGAATTTCTCATGAAACAACACCAGCAATTGATGGATTCCACTGTCTCCATAATATAGACATAAAGCCCTTTAAAAATGAAAAAAAATTAACAGTTTAACTTCTTAGAACCTTTGTGAATACTGCAGAATGATGACTAGAGGGAGGTGTAAACCAGAGGTAGGTGAAGCAGCAATATGGTGTAAGAAGTGTGAAACATAGGTTTTATGGTCATCCATATCTACATCTGCAAGATCGTATCCAGAGGTGTCATTGGTTAGCGGCAAAAAGGAAGATAAGGGAAGATGATTGGAGAAACCATTCAATCATTCTCTTAGGTAGTCCAGATTACAAGGAAGAAGGAGTATTCAGGGAATTATATTAACCTGTTCCTGTGGTAAAGAGTGCAGGAGACATCCAAGACAAAATGTCAGATTGGTGTCTCCCACAAGCAAGAAGAAGATGAAAATATCTTAAGACAAACACCACTGTACAATGTAAAAGCCCAGAGAACTAGACAGAGGTTACAGTACAGAACAGGATCCAGGAAAAAAGGCCAACTGATGAAAAAGACTCAAAAACGATAAATAAGAACTGGAGGAAAATAAATAAAGGCCAGGAAAGATGCAGAAAGTAGTTGACAAAATCACTCACAAACTGGCAAGAGAAGAAATGGAATGAAGTTGAAGAAGATGATAGGCATACAGAAATTATATTGTACAATCTTGACTTGGAGAATTCACAATTGGAGATGTAGTATGGGACTGAAGACCAACAGAGTAGAAGCCAGGTGTTGAGGAGAGTCACAAAGGTAGCAATGTGAGAGCAAATCCACTAAAAACATCAGAGGATGTAAAAATTACTTTGTAGGAAGGATTCTTTCTAGGTAAGATAGTCAATCTGCCACTAGAGCCAAAGATCCCAAGACATGAAAGACCAGCAACTGAATGTGATCAAAAAGAGAAAGTCTAGAGAAGTGGTTTTCAAACATTTTGGGTTCTGGACCAGTCTGTAAGCTTTGATGTCCAATTGAGATCCAGTAAATATCTTTAGTGCAAAAAAACACCTGGGTTACTAAATACTTACTAAATAAATAAATAAACTATTATCTACTACCAAAGTATTTGCAACCATTTCACAGATTCTGACAACCCACGAGATGAGAAATGTTGGTCTAGAGCAAGGTAACAGAGGTCCCGAGTGCCTCCCTGTTGTTTGACATACAAAGTGATAGTGGAATTGTCTGAACTGATCTTGAACAAAGACTAGACTGATGAGACAAATTATCTCAAGAACACTGATAAGGAGACTGTTCCACTGGAGACCAGACTCCATAATTGATGCAGGTGTCCAAAACCACACTCCACTCAGATGGAGAGACATCATTTTAAAGGTTCTGGTCGAATGTTAGGTTTCTGTTTAGCAAAAAGTTACACAATGGACAATCTGTGCTGTACCTACTATGGTTATGAAAACCCAAATATTTTAGCATTATAAGCACTCAGATGTACTACAAAGCCACTGGAGGCTCTGAACAAATATAAGTCTGGCAGAGGTGGAAGAAAAGGGATGCCCAGGGCTGTGTAGAATTGATTGAGCCACAATGACAGTGAGAGTTGAACAAAAAATGGAAAAATAAAGAGAAGACAGTGGATTTCTGGACATACTTCACTGATCAGCCAAAACCTACTGAAAAGAATACATATGGGTACATTCAAGAGGAACAAAGGACTTAACACAAGAGAGCTCAAAAATGAAAAGCCTCTTGTACAGGAAAAATAAGATAATCAGGAGTTCCATGTCTCAGAGACATAAAGGAGAAGGCTAAGTTCACTTTCCATATTAATTCTGAAAGACTCCCATGTGAAGTAGATACTCAGTGCAGGTCAAAACCAGCCACTTCAAATGAGACGACTCCCAAAGGAAAATGGAAGTCCAATGGTGGATGACACACTGGATGGGGCAAGTATAAGCCAATCATTCATTGAGTAGTGAAATTGTAAGCTTAAGGAATGCATCCTCCATGCAAAAACTCACTGGACCCAATAGAAAACACATTGGGCTATGGCAAACACAAAATCATAGGGCTTTTAACTGAATATTTGACTGTTGTAGATGAGCTGAAGGAAGTAATGGGAAGGTGTATAAATCAGGATATGGAGAAAAACATAAGAGACACTGATCTTGGTCATGCATATCATGGGAGATAGCATCCATCTAAGAGTGAGAAAACTGTTAATTTAAAATAAAGGGACAAAGTTAGTTCATGTATGACATATCTATGACAGGTTGTCAATCTTCCTTTTTCTTGAGAACAACAACAAAAAGATGGGAGTAAAACCATAGATTGGGGTCAAGAACCTGTTTCATGGCATTCATAATTTGGAGTGAGAGGGAGAAGAAGAGATTAAGAGTGGAAGGATAGGGAAAGCCCATAAGAAATCACCTGTGTAACTTAATAGTTTATAGTAAACAGAGTTCACAAGTATGCAAAGTGGGAAACTCGGCTCCAACCAGACTGGAGCTAAGAGGTAGCTCCAGGGACAATTCACTCCCAAAACCCGCAACAGCTAGCTTTCCACAAAGAAGGGAAAGTGAAATAGTAACAAGAGATCCCCAAGCTTCAAGTGGTTGAGGCTCAAGCAAGAAAGTACCCCAAGGTTCATCAAAAACAAGTGCAGAAAGTGAAATCAAAATGTCACTTATCTATATAATCAAAGCAGCAAAGGATGAAGATTGGCTAACCTGATCCTGAACAGGAAGAGGGAATCAAAAGTAAGAGTGGTGGAAACAGTCAGTCAAATTCATCTAAAGATTAAGAGAGATGTTAGAATAGTGGATACATGAATTCATAATCTAGATCAGCATTTCTTAACATTTTCAATACTAGGTACTAAGTCACTGCCTGCCTAAACTATCATAGACTGCTGAATACAATGAGAAACTATTATACCTCACATATGAATATTCTGTCGGTTTATTTCTGGTGAAATCCCATGGACCAGTGGTTGAGAAAAATTGATATGGATGAATAAACTTTTCTTTTTTGTAATGCTCAAATGAGCTTGGTATGTCAGTGGTAGGCTTTAGTCATTATCATAATGATGAAAATGGAGAGTGATTACTAAAACCTGGTTTCTAGATTCTAGGGAATAGCACTGTCAAAAAAACAAAGATCCTGGAAAATACTTCCCAAGATTAAGAGGAAAATCAAATTATCCTAATTTGAATTAAAGTTCTAACTCAAATGTTTAAAGTTTTGTATCTTTGTTTTCATAATCTAGAAAATAAAGGAAAGAAAGATTCACTACAAATGGTACTGAAAATTTAAAATAATAAGTGCAAAAAGTCCATAATTATTAATGAGGAAAAACATGCATAAACCAAGCAGTCCTTAGGAAAACAATGAGTCTTTGTTATGATGCTAGCACTCATGGGAGATTACTATGCATGAAAGATGTGTCACCCCTATTGGTGGTTACCTATAATCTAATGATGATTACATTATAAGCAGTAGTGCAAGATATTTTAAGATTTATTTTTACTTCGTCTTACATTGTATTCATTCTCTTTTCTATAACTCAGTGTTAGGTTTTCAGATTTAACTATGTAATATAGATTATGTCCATTCCTCTCATTATCTGCAGTTACTATCCTGTTCTGTAAGTAATCAGTGGAATTGAGAAAACTGGGTATAAATATATATATCTATATATATAGCAAGGAACTGAACTCTGCTTTTTGAATGTATGTGAAACTTTATTCAAAGTATATCATAATTTTTACTGTATCTCTTCTAGTTGAACAATACATTAATAATGAAGATACAGAACTAATTAATTCATCTGAATGTTAAGATTTGTGTAGAGCTACAAATCAACCTATATGAAAAATTAATTACTTGGATATTCTCTGAGATTCACAATGTAGATGATAATAGTAAGACAATCAGTAACTACAGGATTATTCTATGTTAACTGTGTAGTTTCCTTTTTGTATTAGTAACTTTTTGACTATTACACTGAAGCTGTCTTCATAAATAATATAAAAGTTGCTAACTGTTGTCAGGATTTACACAATAAAATGTTTTGGGGAAAAAATCAGTGAGACATATTTAGACTAAGATTAATATATATATTTCAAAAACAGTTTTATTGAACTCTCAAAGGTGTTCTTTAAATCATTTTTATACAAAGTATTCCCACATAGTTTTGGTACTTGTGGGTTTTAAGAACAATTTCTTGTTCTTTTAAAAAAAAAGATAAGTAAATAAATTATCTTTTTAAACTTTGAATACAAGTTAAAAAGGTGTAGTTCTGATAAAAAAATACTTGGAGAAATAATATTTAAACTATGATTGATAGATTCTTAATAAATAAATTAATGCAGATATGTAACATTTAAAAGTTAACTGTTTTTTTCAGGTGCAGAGAGTGATCAGCATGGTGAGCGCTTCCACCAAGATATTGTTACAATAGAACAGCAATATCAAGGATGATGGAACCCTGCAATAATGGGAGATTACTGATGGTTCTTACAGAAAGAAATTGAGAATATACAAAAAAGGCACAACAGGTCAAGCAGATATTTTGTAACAAAAAAATTACCACAATGAAACTTTTGAAAATAGCCTGAATGTATTTTCACTATATAATCTTATTACACTTGTTTTACACTCATGCAATTTTCACAATATATAAGAATAATTTGAATAAGTCTATCATAACTAGAAAACTAAAGGTGATAGTAATTTTCAACATGATTTTTAGAATCAGCATCGTCAAATTATTTAGAAACAGTTGCATTTTTTTCTAGTAGCAGAGAAAATGTGTTGTTGTTGTCATTGCCTAGTGTTATTCATTTTGCTGTTAGCTCAAATACTTTGAAAGTTTCAACAATAAAACAACACACTTAAACAGAATTTAAATCAAAAATTTTCTGACAAATAATCATTAAGATCCTTTCTCTTTACAACTATTTGTATCTTATTTCTCAAAGATTAGTTAGCTCTTTTATAGCTAATAACTGATAACTGTTTTCTGGATCACTTATTGTAAACTCTTCAACAGTCTTAACAACATGTTTTTCCATTCAAATAATCATATAAATACAAAGCTATAACAAATGCTTAAAAAATACATTTTAACATACAAATTATGTTTCTTATGGATCAAATGGTATCTGGTTTCCAGCTTGTGTACATGTTCTTCCACTTATGTAACAACTATAAAGTCTCATTCCCGTGTGAATCACCCGATGGTCTTTTAAGTGGCTGGACACCCTGAATTTCTTTCCACAAATATTACAACAGTATGGTCTTTTTCCTGTGTAGATGAAATTATGTGATTTTAAACTTCTATCACACAGGTCATAGGTATATGCTTTCTCTGTTAGTTGGATAAGTTTCTTTTTTTTAGGGAGATTTCAGCTTTTAGTTACTGGCTTTCCACAAGTCAATTGTTTCCTCTTCATACACATTATCAAGATCAAGGTAATTTTCATCTTCATTATTACATTCATGGTCACTTCCAGATAAAATAGGAGTAATGCCACATTCTTCTCATATGTTCAGTGGTTTATTCTTCACAAGAACAGTTTTTGCCAAGATGAAAATAGAAGTACTCATCAATTAATCATAGTACAAAATTATTATCAAATCTTAAAGCTTTTGAAAACATATGTCCTACATAAAGAATCTTAATGTAATAAAGTTACTATCCTTAAACAGAACTTTACAGAACTTAAAATGGGATTCAAATATGTACTTATTTCTGAATATTCAGAATCCAGCTACTTTTAAGATCTGCTGCTATACTAATTTTTTCAGCCTTTTCATTTTAAAGATGCACTTCACACTTAAAATATTACAAAATTAATGAGATACTCTTTCACCAATAAGAAATGTGCTAGAGTGATAGTATGATCATTACCAAAGTGTTAGATACAACTGGACATGAGAATGGGTGAAAATGTGTCAAAGTTTTGTACATTTCATAAATGTTGAGTTAGCTCTGGGTAGAAAAAACTGATCCTTACATCAAAGTGAAAGAACAGTACAATACCAGATAGGAAACAGAATCATTTGTTTTTTACTTTTTTAAAGCAAGAAAGAGAAATCTTGCACACAAAAATCACTAACCATACAAGCATCACAGGAAATTTCTAGAAAAACAGGTATTAGACACAAAACCATTGTTTGAAAATTAGGAAAGTCCTAAGTGTTACAAATCTTCACAGAACAATCATATGATGTATAAAAAGATCCTACAGGAGTAATCGATTAAATTCAACAATTTTTTCATTATTCTACTCTATCTCCAGTAATGTGTCTTCTCCTAACTGCAGTGACAGATACGCATATATTTATTCGATAACTCTAACAAACAATTTACTCACACTTTATTATCATAGTAAGAGCAACACCAGTCTGTCAAAATTTTTCAACAGCCCTTTGACATTAACATATATATATTTTAGCAAAATATTTCAAACTCTTGAGGATTTCTGCAGTTTACAGCATTAACCATTCCACTATTGACATATAACCTGAGGTATTCAAAAGACCTTTATTTTACATTTCTGTAATTATAGTACCAATTCTCCTCCTTTCTGTTTCTCACTCTCTTAAACTTATTGACTCTGGACTCATCTAACTTAAGAATTAAATAACTTTCCTCACAGTACTTTTGTATTATCTAACAAGTGTTAAAGTCTTCTCACTGTTGTAGAAATAACAATGGAGAGCATGAATCAAAGACAGTATACCTTTTAACAGATATTATGTGTATTATTCCTTCAAAAATCTATATATTCTGGTAAGTTATAAAAACAAAAATGTGAAAAAGTACTAATTTTTATCTTAATCTACTACTGGACCAGAATATATCAGTTAATTGATTATCACTAACAGCAGATGGTCTAACATTTTTCAGAATATTTATATGAATTCCAACCATACTCTTTACAATAGCTCTTCCTTCATGTTTTCCTATAAAAATGTTCTGTTTATTAAATTATATAAATCTTTAGGAAAAATATAAAAATCTTTATCTTTTGTTTTACAAAAATAAAGAGTACTTACACAGTACCCAGTCATGCACAGGGAAAATAAGAGAGGATGATGACACAGATGTACATAAAACATAAGATTATTAGCTAAATGAAACTACTGTAAAAAATTAATAAACACAACAATAAATATAAAAAATAAAACACACACTTCCTTCATTTGCACCTGAAATCCCTACCCAGAGATAAATGGTTTTGTGTTACTAAAACTGAAGGACATTTCTACCATTTAACTTTTTTTAATGATTTTCTGATTATTAATGTTTCCCTTTTTTATAGATTTTTTTACTTAAAACTTTATTTTTTGTTACGTATGTTTTAGTTTTTTGCACTTTTATCAAGCAATAATGTTTATTGTTTTATTGCATTTAAAAACTTCCAAATTAATGGTGAGACTCACACTGATTGTATCATAATGTTATTATTTTAAATATTTTTAATCTAGTTTTAATCTAACAAACTGTCCACTGCAGTTATCTTGTAAAATTATTCATTTCACGTCTCTATAAAATAATTTCAATACTTGAATCTTTAACACCTTTTCAATAATTACTTATTTCTTTGTATTGTTGCGTCAGCGAGGTCACGTGACTAGTATCACG